TCAGGATAGACTCAGTCCAGGTCCCGCACGGTCAGGATACACTCAGTGCAGACCCCGCACGGTCTGGATAGACTCAGTCCAGGCCCCGCATGGTCTGGATAGACTCAGTGCAGGCCCCGCATGGTCTGGATAGACTCAGTCCAGGCCCCGCACTGTCTGCAAAGACTCAGTCCAGGCCCCGCACGATCAGGATACATTCAGTCCAGGCCCAGGACGGTCTGGATAGACTCAGACCAGGCGCAGAACGGTCTGGATAGACTCAGACCAGGCCCAGGAGGGTCTGTATAGTCTCAGACCAGGCCAAGGACGGTCAGGACAGACTCAGTCCAGGCCCCGCACGGTCTCGATAGACTCAGTCCAGGCCCCGCATGGTCTCGATAGACTCAGTCCAAGCCCCGCACTGTCTGGACAGACTCAGACCAGGCCCAGGACGGTCTGGATAGACTCAGACCAGGCCCAGGATAGTCTGGATAGACTCAGTCCAAACCCAGGACGCTCTGCAGGGACTCAGTCCAGGCTCAGGACGCTCTGGATAGACTCTGTCCAGGCCCAGGACGGTCCGATAGACTCAGTCCAGGTCCCACACGGTCTGCATAGACTCAGTCCAGGCCCCACACAGTCTGGATAGACTCAGATCAGGCCCAGGACAGTCTGGATAGACTCAGACCAGGCCCAGGACAGTCTGGATAGACTCAGACCAGGCCCAGGATGGTCTGGATAGACTCAGTCCAAACCCAGGACAGTCAGGATAGACTCAGACCAGACCCAGGACCTTCTGGATAGACTCAGACCATGCCCAGGTTGCTCTGGATAGACTCAGTCCAGGCCCAGGACAGACCAATAGACTCAGACCAGGCCCAGAACGGTCTGGATAGACTCAGTCCAGTCACAGTGTGGCCTCATGCCTCCACTCAGCCTTGCCATCCAATCAGGGATAGCTTGGATTTAGGGTATCAAACCATTTTCCAGATCAGAGATCATGAACCAGAGGTCACTGTGAGAACCTGACGTTTTCCACCATGCAATAAGGGTGTAAAAACAGACTAGGAGACCATTTGGCCCCTCAATCCTGCTGCAACATTCAACAAGTTCATGGATGATCTAATCCTGACCTGAACTCCACTTTCCTGTTTGTTCCCACAATCCAGCTTTGACTGCTTTCTGGTAGAGAATTCTAAAGGTTAACAATTCTCTCAGAGGAGAATTTCATTCTCACCTCAGTCTTAAATTGGACACCCCTGACCCTGAAACTGTGCCCCCTTGTCTTGGACTCCCCCAAGAATGGGAACATTCAGCATCCACCTTGTCAAGAATCTTAGATAACAATGTCACCTCTCATTCTTCTAAACTCCAAAGAGTCTCAACCTGAGCTGCTCAAACCTTAACTGATGACCGACCTGTTTATCCTGGGTACCATTGCTGCATCTAATTATCCTTCTCTAAAAAGGAGATCAAATTGTACACAACACTCCAGCTGCAGTCTCAATAATGGCCTGTACAGTTATAACAAGACTTCCCTAATTTTGTCCTTCATCTCCCTCACAATAAAGACCAACGTTCCATTTGCCTCCCTAATCACTTACTGCTTCTGCAGACTCTTTGTGATTCACGTCAGAGACACTCAGATCCCTCTGCAACATGGTGTTGTCCAGCCTCTCCACATTTACATAATGTTTCTGTGTAATATTCTGATTCTGTTCTTCCAACCAAAGTGAACAAGCTTATATTTACCCAATTAAAATCAATCTGCTGAATCTTTGCCCACTCACTCAAGCTCTCAATGCCTCTCTGCAGACACTTTGTATCTCATTTACAGTTTGCTTCCTCTTTATAATGTAACTTTGTAAATTTGTAGCAATACAGTCACTCCCTTCATCCATTTCAATTGTAAACAGTTAAGGCCTCAATATTTTAAAAACTTTTATCCTTTACACACTCTTCAAGGCCTCATTGCTCGCACTTTCTGTGATTTCCTCGCGGCCCCCAGACCCCTGTTACTGTAATTCCATGGAATCTGTTTGAGAACCAATCCTTGACTCCAATAGCGATGACTGACCTCTCCACAATATTCAGAGATGAACTCATTTTTTTGGACAGACTCCTTAATGAAGGTTCCCCATCCTGCAACGTCTGAGGGAGCAATCAGCAGGTGCTGAGAGAGAAAGAGAAATCAGTCAGAGACAGAGACAGTCACAGACTGGGATCATCATAGGATCAAGTGGGCAGCCAGAGGGAAAGGGAATCCAGCAGCAGGACAGCACTGGGAATGACCCAAACACCAACCCCAACCCCAACTCAGCCCCTGGGAATAGACCGTCAGGTCACGGGGAACAACAACACACCATCACCCCCACACCCACTGCCACCGTCACCCCACACCCACCGCCACCGTCACCCCACACCCACCGCCACCGTCACCCCCATCCCACCGCCACCGTCACCCCATCCCACTGCCACCGTCAACCCCACACCAACCACCACTGTCACCCCCATCCCACCGCCACCGTCACCCCATCCCACCGCCAAAGTCACCCCACACCCACCGCTACCGTCACCCCCACCGCCACC